ATTAAATATGGGCATATTCTGGAACATTTAACAGTTCTTCAGAAATTAAAAATGCTATTTTATCACTATTCAACATTTTGATTTTCTGTCTTATTCTTTCTTGTTGAACGTTCGTTACCATCTTCAACCATAAAGACAAAAAATTATTACGTTCCCCCTTCATAATTTCAGGTAAAAGCTTCATAAACTTTCTGTACTAGCGATGGTTTCTGAGGGCAGATGTGTTTTCTTTATATCATTTAATATTCTTCCGATTTTATCAGTAATTGCCAGTATTAACTCTTCTTTGTAGGTAATATTTGGAAGATATGTATCGATTATGTGTGGAAATGATAGGGTGAATTCATTAATTTTATTATCATTAATCATCTTGTGAATTAACGAGTGATATTAGTATCACTGCGATATGATATATAGTTTTTTAGATGAATATTTTTTTAATTTAATATTGTAATTTTTTGTTTTCAATATGCTTAAAAAAATTTTTATTGCAAATTGGACTATTTAATTTGTTAGATTCTTTTATTTCATAATGTTTAATTTTCTAAATTTGTTAAATTAAATTGTTAAAAATAAAATCAATATAAATCTTAAAAGAAATAAACAATGCTTCTGATATTCTCATTATATTCTTATTTTTGAATTAAATTTTTTTCTTGCAATAGATCAATTTAATTATCCAGAAATTAAAAAAACTCTAAATAACAGTAAATAAGTTATCTAGAATTCTGAGATATTCATCTTCAGCTTTTTTAAAATTTGTTTTAGCTCATTAAATTTTTGAAAGCTTCATCAACCTGTTATTGTATATATTTAAAAATTTTCTATATGAAGAAATTTCAGATACGAATCAAATAAGGCTACACAAATTTAATTAATTAATTTTCATATCATAAACTGGTGCCTAGTGACACAGCCACACAGATTTTTTTTTTTAAGAAAAATTTTTTTTTTAAAAATAACTGGCACGGCATATTCATATGCAATCATCTTGATGCAGAAAAAATATGTGCATGTGAAAATTATATTTAAAATGCTAATTGTCATCAGTTAAGTCGGTCAGTCACTCTGACTAGGATCATTTACAGTTAATAACTGTGACTAAATGGTTATAACTGGGGATGGACCGCTGCACAGGTGGAATTTTCAGAAGTTTAGTATATTTCAGAATTTAACAATTAATACCCGCATTAGCAGAAAACAGCCTTAATACAGACCTGTGCAGTCTGCGCAGTAAATTCAAAAAATTTTCGATTTAGCATCCCTCGTTATAACTAAAACTGAACCCATCATTCTGGAGCATAATATTAGATAATCGTTCTTAATAATTAAAAATAGATAATCAATTTCAATTACTATTATTATCATTGATGGGATGTTCTTGACAAAAAAAATTAATTTTTTTATTATTAGTAGCTTGTCATCGAATTGCGAGATTAGATGACTTTATAGATGCTTAGATTGACATTTTATGAACTGTAATAGTTGCTGTGTTGTTCTCATTAGATCAGGTTTTTCTTGGTTAAGTTTATGATCGTTAAATAACGAACAGATGTAGATGTTAGCAAATTAGTGCTAAAGTAAAAGTGTATTTTTATATGGCTTCAAGCATAAATTAAACCAGTAGGATGGAGGGAGAAAGATGTAATCTAGTGTATTTAAGGGTAATGTTTATTTAGTAAAAAAAGCTTATCTTACTCTTTGCTATAGCTTGCCTTGCAGGAAAACTATATGACAAGGTGTAATGTCAGGCAGTATTGGTTTTTATTTTTGTAACTATGAAGCTCCACAGCTGCTGCAATAGTACAAGGATTTTGTTTTTGTAGTGATTAGGCTCCGAGGCTGCAGTAGTACAAAGATTTTGTTTTTGTAGGAATTAGGCTCTGAGACTGCAGTAGCAGTGCAAGAACCTTAGAATTAGGCCCTACAGCTGCGATAGTAGTGTAACACCTGGTTTTTGTAGCAATTAGGCTGCAGTAGCAGTATACTACGGCTTGGGAGAGCTAATGGTAAGTTGTACAGACTGGGTCCTTATTTAGTAGTGGTTATTAACTAAGGCATGCGTCTTAGGAGTTGTGCAATGCTATATTTAGGTTATATCATTGCCTTAATTAAGCTATATTTTTGTAAGAGGTCAGGTTACGTTTAGGTTACTTGAGGTCCAAGTTAGATCGCTACGGGTTAGGTTCAAGTTGATTACCTCATGCCACTTAGAGCCGTTCGAAGTTAATTCTTCATTTAACATCTCCTCCAGTTGAATTCTCCTCCCAAAAAATAAATAATCAATCAAAATGCTGGATAAATCTCACTGATCACTTGATTTACATCGACCAATGAAATTGGCCATTATTTGTTCATTTTTATATGTTCATTTCATTTCCCTCTCTGGAGTTCTAGAAAGTGATGTTAACCGAAGAATCAACTTCGAACAGCCTTTGTAAATGGGGACGGAGCCGACAGATCACTTATTATTGTATTATTTAGATGCTAACAACTATACTTATTATTGGAGCCAAGTAAGAAAGTGTTGTTTTATTTATTAGACAGGCGTCCTATTTATATATTTTGATGTGCAAGAGTTTCAGGGTTCCAAACCCAGATCTCGGGTTTCAAACCCATACATATGCTATTACTGTTGTAACTATATTACTTTTTTTACATATGAAAAGTAAAGAAACTACATAGCAAAATTTATAAGGTAAGAAAAATTTGTTAAATTTTTCATAACACAGTACGAGAACTTGGCAGTTAGACTGGTAGTAGTGAAAAAAACCTTGTTTTAGGTTCTATGGCTACCATAGTAGGCATGAACCTTCGTTATATGTTAAATGGGTTGCAGGCTCTGTGGCTAAGATAATAATGCAGTGTATTTAAAAAACCCAGTTTACTTCAAGTAACCATAACTCAATCCTGTATATACCTGAGTATTCACATATATCTGCATAAACTTTACACCAATTGTACTGGTCTTGCGCAGCACCATGTGCTGCGCAGCTACTTTATTAATTTATTCTTTTCTAATAAATCACTATCATATTAAGATTCATGTACAATCAGTGTCATCTTAATACTTTATTAGATTGATAATTTCTATTCATAATGTGATTTAATTTCATAAATCCTATTGGTTAATTATATTAAAAAAAAAAATTTCAAATCTTGTTTCACTGACCCAGCCGAGATATGAAAATCAATTATATTAATTTGTATCGCCTAAGTGGTATATTTTCATTATAAGTCATAATACGAATTGTTTGAAAAATTCGCATTCTCTCAATTCTGATAAATTGAATGATAAGCTAGGGATTAAAGGAAATATTGAGCTATCTCTAGCCACTGAAATGTTGAATTTCTTGATTCACTTGTTTCTTTAAAATAACATGTTTTGGATAGCCACAAAAGTTGTAATTTCTAAACTAGGCTTAGATGTATCTTGAGTGTATTGATACCCAATGAGATGACATTTTTTATCCTGCAGCTAGAATAAGTCTCTAAAAATCTAGCATAATCAAATAGTGGTTTTTTGGAGAATACATGATAGATCAACTTGATATGTATTCAAAGTCAATTGATATTTTTCATTTTCATTAAAATATGAAAGATAAATAGATATGATATTTGTAGAATATTTGGATATATTATATAAAGGGTCAGCCCATAACAGAGGTACTGTAATGCGACAAAATAAGCGATTAACTAAAAGGCAGTTATATAAAGTGTGGTGATCATATTCAAAGTTTTTTATAATTTCTAAATAACAATCCTCTGTTAATTTTGTTAATTCCATTTTGCTGTATAGTTTGATACATATTTAGTAAATGCAGGTTTATATAAAATACAACATTATTCAAGAATAGTTGTCACAACATACATTATTAAAATTTTTTTATTGGCAATCCAACTTAGTTTTAATACACTAGCACAATAGTATAATTAGATTTTTTCAATTTAAATATGAATTATTTAATTACAATGCCATTGAGAATAGATCGAATCGTTTAAATTCTATTAAAGACAACTAAAAAATAACTTGTACAATATATATATTTAATTTATGATTTTGGTGAAATTAATTCATAATTTATAGTGATAATGATAATAATCTTAATTTTAGTAAATTAATTCGTAATTCTTTACATAATTTTACATTTCCTCTTCCTAATCAAACATTAAATAGATGCGATAGCTGTGGGCTTTGAATTAATAGAGACTTAAATAGCGTCTGAGGGATTTTCCTTAGGGCTTTGCTTGATGGGGTCATCATTATGCAAGCATAGCTATGTTAATTGATTAATTATATATTTATAATTAATCACCTAATTGTTATGCGTAATTAAATTTTTTTCATTTGTAATCCATCTCAACCTTGTACAAGTAATTTGTCCAGAATTAGGGAAAGCATGGGTTGTGAAATTACCATAATTTTACGTACTTTATGTAATTTTTGCGTAAGATTCGTAAATTGGATTTTTCATGTACATATATTGTAACAGGTAAGATTGTGTTATGCAAGTTACAATATAGATATTAAAGCTGGCCTAATATGACAATTTCCACCAGCATTAACATCAACTTGATATTTTATAATTTTATGTTATATCAGTAAAATACATATAATTTACATGCAATTTGCCAACCCTACGCAAAATTAATTCGTAACTCTGGTAAACATAATTTTGGTAGAATTAATTCATAATCATAGTTCCATAATTTTGGCAGAATTAATTTATAACTATAATTTTTTTAGTATTGATTCGTAACTCTGGTAAGCATAAATTTGGTAAAATTGATTTGTAATCATAATTTTGGTAAGTATAATTTTTGTAGAATTAAATCGTAACTCTGTAATCATAATTTAGGTAGAATTAATTCCTAATTTCATATCTGATCAATATTAATATACGAAAAGTAAATTTTTTCTATGTCTAACTTTGCGTAAAAATTGAATTGTTAACACAAATCATGTATGATGTAGTTTGGAGTTTTTATTTATTAATAATATAATGTATATATTATACAGTATAATCTATTGTTTCTTAAATTATAAATAACAATTTATACTTCGCATTTATATAAAATTTAATACTTTCGTGAAGTTTTATGATAAAGATATGATCGGTGGCGAGTCTTCTATGAGTGATTACAGTAAAGAGAATATACCTTGGTTTCAGAGTTATTGCAGTGAAGGAAGGTCAAATTGGTTTCTCGGAGTATACTAAGCTGTTTACTTCTCAAGTCAAACTACAGAATGGTAAACGAACCCTGCAAAGTTGGTGGCTATACTTTTCCAAAATTTACTTAATTCTTAATCAATTCCAACAATTGATTTATCCAATTTTCTATTGATTCAAAAGAATCTAAATACTTTA